ACCTACCTACCTACCTACCTACCTACCTACCTACCTACCTACCTACCTACCTACCTACCTACCTACCTACCTACCTAATCTATGACAATCAGCATGATCTAATATAATTTCATTTTTTAATATTAATTATCAAAATTGACTGATTTGACAAAATTCAATCAGAACAGCCTCAACAGAAGACAACCTGTGACAGAAATATGTAACAATGTTTGTTGTTTTTTCTTTATTTGTTTAATGGAAAACAGGGATGAATGGATGAAAACAGGGAGATCACACAAATCATGAAAAACCGAGCAGGACATTTCTGTATGTTGTCCCAAACTGGATGGCATCAGGAAAACTTTACATTATTATCATTATTATAAACGATCAACAAACAGTTATCCATTAAACGTCATGGCCCAAACAGATAATTACAAACTGAAAATTTGTCTTGATGTTTTATAAATAAGTTAAATTAAATAAATTGCGGTGAAATAAGAAAGTTTCAAGAAATAAATAATAATAAAATAAATCTATCAAATATTTTTCACAATTTAGCCTCATTTTCACCCGTATCCGATAGTGATGATGTCTTATGTCCACATAGGTTATAACATAATTCAGTTTACAGTGTGTCCCTCATCATACACCACAGTTTCTAAAAGAAAAATAAGTGATTTTAAAACACCCACTTATGTTTAATTTATGCATCCAGGAAGAACAAACAACACAGACTGTTTTCACAGATTTAGAGCTCTCTTATTGTAGTTGAGGAAAAAGTTCCAGGTGTTCCAGCTGGGCCCGGTGTTCCGGACGCAGGCGCCTCCATCGGAGCAGCTGTAGTTAGAGGGACAGCAGCGCTTCATGTCACTGCAGCACACCGCCTGCAGGGAGGACAGAGAGCTGTGCGGTTTAATTAAGATGTTCTGAACGATTTAAAACAGTTTGCATGCGGCAGGAGAGGACGGACAGAGACGTACGTTGGGAGACGGACAGCAGCCCCAGGTAGTGGGGGACGTCCTGCAGCAGGTCTCGTTGTATTTGCACTTGCTCTGGTCGTCGCACAAGATGTCCCTGTCCTTTAACGGAGCGAGCTGGAGGCGGTACTCGGGCAGGTAGATGGGAGTCAGGGGGATGGTCTCCAGCTGCAGGATGATGGTCTTCTGACAGGACCTGGACACGATGTCACAGGCGTAGCCCTGAGGGCAGCAGTGCTCCATGTCTGGACAGCAAACGGCCTGCACACAATCAGCAACACTTTTTATTTCACAGGAGAGAACACATCTTGTACAACTCTAATCTGGAAAAAATAAGTTAAAACAGGCATGGGCAATCCTGGTCCTGGAGGGCCGCAGCCCTGCATGCTTTACTTGTTTCTCTGCTTCAACATACCTGATATGAAGGAATAGATGATTATCAGGCTTCTGCCATACGGAGGACCAAAACTGACATAATTAGAAATAAAAGCAGAATTATATGAACCACTAAATAAATACACTTAAAATGCACCAATTAAATTAATAAAGAAGAACTTTATCTCCTGTTTTATATTTTAATTGACTTTCAAATTTATTTTTCGAGATCAGTTCCAACAAATTAGTCTACATATTTGAACACACAATTAAAATTTTACTGTTTTTTAAAATATATATGAATTGTTTTTCCTTTTACTTGTACAGACATTTGTGTGTCTTAAATGTGTATATACCGTATTTATTCATGTATAATAAGATCATCATTTTTTTGAGATTAAAAAAGCATAAATATCTAATCAGCAATAACCCGTGTATAATACTACCACTCCACTTTACGGATGATTTTTAAGGTTACATTTCTAGTATTATACATGTATAAATACAGTACTTGATTATTTTTACATTTTTTTCCAACAAGTCTTTTTATTTCTGTGTTGCATGCTTGTGCTGTCTGAGTTTAACTAAAAGTTTAAAGTTTAGTTTAAAACAAAGGCAAGGAGGAAAACATTACCTGTGCATTTATTTTTAACTAAACTTCAAGCTAATCTACAGCAACACAAGCATGCAACACATAGAAAAAAAAAGACTTGTTGGAAAAAATTATAAAAATAATTCAATTTAAGCATTCAAGAGACACAAATGCATGTACAAGTGAAAACTATGTAATATATATAATACATTAAAATTTAAATTATGTGTTAAATATATAATTTATTGGAACTAAGCTGGAAAAATAAATACGAAGGTCAATTAAACTATAAAACACGAGGTAACTTTCTCCTTTTTAATTTATTTGGTGCATTTTAAATGTATTTATTTATTTAAAAGTTCATTTATCTATTTTTGTTTTTGTTTCTAATTATGTCAGTGTCGGTCCTCCACACTGCAGAACTTAGAAGATGTAGTTCAGTGGCTGAATCAGGTGTGTTGGAGCAGGGAGAAATGTACAACATGTAGGGCTGCAACCCTCGTGGACCATGATTGCCCACCCCTGGGGTAAAATGTGTCAAATATAAATCAAAATGCAATGAAATGATTTGCGACCCCCCCTTTTTTTTAGTTTTCACTCACATTCTGCAGCGGGCAGCAGCCCCACTCTCCCGTGAACAGCCTGCAGCAGGAAGTGTGTTCAGGACACTTGTTCTCAGCATCGCACATCACCAAGCCGGGATCGGCCCGGACGCTGGTGGTGGCTGGAATCTTCGTGTACCACGGGATCTCCGTCTCGTCTTTAACACACGAGGTCTTGCTCTCCTCGCACCTGTAGCCCTCGGGACAGCAGTGGGACCCGCGGGCACAGCACACCGCCTGGGCAGGAGGGAGAAACAGGAAGTGATATCCTCACATCAGACATGGAAAAATGACGTTTTCGTTCAATGGAAGAGCTCACCTTCGGCAGCGGACAGCAGCCCCATTTTTTACAAGAAGCCATGAAGCAGCAGGTTGTGTCCTGAGGGCAGCTGGTGTGGTCATCACACTGAATCCTGTTCTCGTCTCCATCATCGTAGTCCTCCTCCTCTGTTGTCTGTTGTGTTGAGAACTCTTCCTCAGCTGTCGTCATCGAGGTTGTCTCTTGGTTTAGGGTTGTAGTCTCCTCTGGTGTGGGTGTTTCAGAGGTAAAGGTGGGGATCTCCTGGGCCGTGGATGTCGATTCTGATGGATTCACACAGATTAGAACCATCAGGTCACAGATGGTTTGAGCAGAGCAGCTCGATGCTCATAATGCAACAGATAGAGACGGTGCGCTCTGCTGGATTTAGTATTTTTATCCAAACAAAGTCAACTTTGCAGGATTAGTTTCGACTTGACACAGCATGAAGTTATTTTAATCTGCCAGAGCTTCTTCAGCATCATTTCAGTATTTTCATTTCAACAATTCAGTGACACGAACACTAAAGAGAATTAAAAGGTAGTTTTTCAAATGTATAAAACTGAACACCAAGTCGCACCTGTGTCTGCCCTGAGGGACACTTCTGTCTCCAAAGTAGGAACTGGACCAGCTGTTGTGACGTCAGGGGTTTTTTCTGTTTCAGCTTCCTTAGAAATAACTTTTTTACCATCTGTGAAGGAAAAATGCCTATTTACTAGGGGTGCAATGATACAGAAACTTCACGATTTGGTTCGGTTCCATACTTTAGCATTGCGGTTTGATATTTTTCCGATACAAAAACAGAGAAATTTCCACGTCCTTCTTTACTTGTAATTTATTGAAATTAATTATGAACATTTGTTTAACCTCAAAAGTCCAGTTTTTAAATGAAATGTTGCTGAAACAGCAAGTTTCTCAGTGGATCTGTGCAGACTAGGTGGAGTAGTCGAACACAGATCCACTGATCCTTCAACACAGAGCATCATCAGAAGACAAGCTGATAAAATAAATGTTAAAAATCTGTATTGTTCCATACACATTGAACCTAAAGCTCTGTATTGAATGGTTCCTTACAGATACATGTATTGTTGCAGCCCTAACATTTACATACATTGTAAGGTGGACATTAAATGCAACATGGACACCCGGACGTACCTCTCTGGTTCTCCCAGTCTGCTCTCAGCCTGGCGGGGAACTTGTCCCACATCGGCGAGTCTCCTTCAGATGCAGAAATGCACTTCATGTGTTTGACGTCACACGTTGTCCCCTCGGAGCAGCAGTGGAGCTTATCAACGCAGCACACGGCCTGCAGAGACAGTAAAGTCACACCAGGTGCCTCCTCGCAGGATAAGACACAATAAAAGGACGATAACTGGACGTCAGGACAGAGATGCAAACGTATCATTTGACTGTTCGCTCTGTTACGATCTCACTCATGGTGCAAAGGAAAATTAACATAAAAACAGTTGTTTGTGTTAAAAAAAGGACCAATCATTGTGTACCTTTGGGATGGGGCAGCATCCCCATGTGCCTTCTGAACTTTCACAGCAGGTCGCGCCGTTCGGGCACTCGGACACGCCGTCATTGCACAAAACCGTAGTCACGATTTCTGTCAGCAACACAGAAGCAACTATATTCAAATACACAGATAAAACAGTGACAAGTAAATTTTAAAAACTGACACAGGAATTCAACCTTTTTTGATGCAGGAGCGGCCGTCGAAGCTGCACTGGTGGTCCTCAGGACAGCAGTGTTTGCCATCAGAGCAGGAGACTCCCTGTTGGAGGTCAAGAGAAGTCTAAATTTTCTGAAAGCAAATTTACATTTTTTTAACCCTCCAGTTATGTTCTGAGGAACAGCAGTGATGTTCCTGTGTCAGTTTGTCCCGGGGAATGTTTGATCGGGCAATAATGTCAGAAACTAAAAAAGATCACCCAAAACATTGTGGCGTCTGATTATTGACTCCATTACTGACCATTTCAATCATTATTTGCATGTTGATGTTTTTATATTTTTCACAGGTAAAGGATCAATAAGGACGATTCACAAATTTTTCATAAAAATTGCACATTACATTTTTTTTACATTCACTAAATCAGGGCTATTCAACTGGTGGCCCGCGGGCCACATCCATTTATTCATCTCTTAAGCCCAAACCCCCAGTTTTCTACTTTAATTACTCTATGTTCTTTTAGTTAAACATAGACATGTTAACGTAAGAATCTTGGCTAGAAGCTGGTAAAAACAATTTCGATAAACACTCAAAACAATTAAAACTACAAGCAGTTGAAGATAAAATGTTGAAAGTGAATTTAAATTGTTTTAAAAATTTGGCAAGTCAGAGATGTCAAAATATTTGTGTCTAATAATAGGAGGCATAATGTGTTATTTTTGTTTTTGATAATGTGTAGTTATCACTTTATAGGGTTCTGTATGTTGTATTCATGATTAAATGCGGCAAAATAAACGAATTCAAAGGTAAGAGATCTTTATAATAATTGGTTTATTTACATAATAACTTTAATTACTGGATGTTCGGCCCCTCAGCTGTTGACCGGCAGTAACTGTGGCCCCCGGAGCAGTTTAGTTTAATAACCCTGCACTAAGTGAACCTACACACAAAAACAATGGTTATACGTGAAATTAATTATTATTATTTTTTTTACATTTTGTGTAGGGGAAGTTGCAAATACGTTAAATGAACCCTTTTCTTTTTATATGTTCAAAACAAATAGAAAAAGTTTCATACTGAAAAAGATGTAGTTTTTTTTTTAACTATGTAACGTTTTACTTTGTTTAACTATGTCATTTTTAAAACATTTTTAAACTTTGACATGGGTCGGTTTGAGTCGCAACATAATAGGAGGGTTAATCAGCACAGTTTCACGATTTCCTGAAAAGTTCTGCATCTTTTTCACGCTGCCTGGATCGTCTACCTTTGCTAAAGGACAGCAGCCAAACCCCTTCAAAGCCTTCATGCAGGAGAACTCGGCGAGGCACCGAGACTGATCAGGACACACGTTATCCTCGTCCTCACCCTCGTAGGACTTGATCATCCTGAAGGACTGGAAGAGGAACGACTCGTTCAGAACTTTTCACGAAGAAAAGAAAAAACAGGGATTATTGTAAACGTACTTTAGAGACTCGTGGCTGATCCGCAGAGGTCCTTTCCGCCCACGGGATGGACACAGAGTTGTTCACGCAGCTGGACGCATCTGCATGACAGAGTGTCCCTGCTGGACAGCAGTGGACATGGTCCTCGCAACATTCAGCCTGCGGACAGTGTTGTATAAAGTACCACAAAGTGATACTTGAGTAAAAGTACACGTACCTTACATTATTCTTACATTATCATAAAATGACTTTGGTAAAAGTTAAAGTCTCCTCTAAGATTATTACTTGAATAAAAGTCTTAAAGTACCTGATTTATTTTGTACTTAAGTATCAAAAGTAAATTTCTGGCATAAAATAAGTATTAAAAGTAAAAGTATTGAGTAAAAATGAGAGGCTAGATTTTCCAAATACACTTTTTAAAGGTGTGCAGCTGTGATGGATTGCATACAAACTAATATGTGTCATAATGGTATATATTTATACTTCTCATTCAACCACAATTAAATTCAAAGGCACATTTTATCTGGATATCATTTTTGCTGTAACAATAATGACCCAGAATGTAATAGGAGTAATGACTTTCTACATCTTACCTTTTTTTAAAATGTAGGGAGTAGAAAGTACAGATAATTGTGTGAAAATGTAAGAAGTAGAAGTAAAACGTGGGCTGAAAAAATTTACTCAAGTAAAGTACAGATAACCAAAATTTCTACTTAAGTACAGCAAGAAAGTGTTCGTACTTAGTTACTTAACAACTCTGCCTGCGGAGACAGGTGGACACTTTGAATACACAAATCAAACAGTCGGCTATCACACACGCTGAATGAAGCTTTATCTGGTTCCTACAGTAGTAAAACATTAATTAGGATGAATAGTACTACTGTAGAATAACTTGAAAGTACAAGACAAATACTATCTTCTATGTAAAAGACTGCTGAAGATAAACCACTGGATTATATTTATTTTATATTAACATTTAAGGCATCGTCCAAATTTCTGTCTCAACAAATTCTATTTAAATACACCAAAATCTAACCAAATGATTCAACATTAAACCAGAACAGTGTGTTTACACATGCTGTTCTGACGACACACTCTGAAACATTTACAGGTACGTTTTGGAAACGTTGTGTAACAGCGTCCTCCTCAAGCGTGTTCATCAGTAAATGTGAGAATACTCTGAGAAAACCTGTTCGTTCTGTTGGGTCTACCTGATGAAACAGGCAGCATTCGTAGCCGTCAGCTGGGCCGCTGCAGCAGGTTTGACCCTTCGGACATCGTCCTGCATCTGGACACTCGTCAGCACCGACCAGGAGCAGAAGGGCCCCACAGATCACAACCCAGATCTGCATCTGCAGGGAGAAAAACACTGTAAAAAGACAGGAAATTATGCACAAAATCTTGGCTCTAATGTAAATAATTTGAAGCTTTTCTTGAACTTATGGTTTTTTGTTCAGAATCACTCAGTCAAGGAAAAACAAACCCCAAGTTTATTTTTTCAGAGTTGTAATGTAACTAAGTACAAATACTTTGTTACTGTACTTAAGTAGAATTTTTGGGTATCTGTACTTTACTTGAGTAATTATTTTTCAGCGTACTTTTTACTTTTACTTATTACATTTTACACAATTATCTGTACTTTCTACTCACTACATTTTAAAAAAAGGTAAGAAGTAGAAAGTCGTTACTCCTATTTTATTCTGAGTTGTTATTACTTAAAAATACTATCCTGATAAATTGTGTCTCCTGGATAGAGTGAATTTAATTATGGTTGGATGAGAAGTATAAATATTTACCAGTCTGACACACTATTAGTTTGTACACAACCCATCACAGCTGCACGCTGTTAGAAAAAAAATATTTTTTTGAGAAGTCACCTCCCAATAAATGTCATTTTGGAAAATCTAACNYRTCACTTTTACTCAGTACTTTTACTTTTAATACTTAAGTAGATTTTGTGTTGGAAATTTACTTTTGATACTTAAGTACGAAAAATATCAGATACTTTAAGACTTTTACTCAAGTAATATTTTTAGAAGAGATTTTAGCTTTTACCAAAGTATTTTTTATGATAAGATACTTGTACTTTTACTCAAGTGTCACTTTGAGGTACTTTATACAACACTGCTTTTTTTCTGTGAAAAAAGATTCAGTGCTGTTTGTTTATTTCCTGTATGACACTTCCTTTAGCTGTTTGCTCCTCTTGTTCTTTTTTATTCCCCCAGCAAATTGTGATCACAACTTTTCGTTACACTTTAGGAACTCAAGAAGTATGCATATGTCATGCAATCAGTACTAATAAAAAGCTAAAACAACAACAAAACATAAATCTCATTATGCTTCTTTGCTTTTCAAGCATTTAACCATAGATTCAAATACAAAAGARGTTCATAACGCTCTTACCTTTTTTTAAAGCCAGAAAAGCTGTTGTGAGTTTGCAGGAGTTTCACTACTGTGTGTCTCAAAAGTGTTTCCCTAAAGAAATGCAGTGAATTATCTTTCAGATCACGCCTACAGAGGGAGGGAAGCGACTTCCTGATTTCCATAACTATCTTTTAGGCCACTCGGTCACAAAACTTGCAGTCTGGTTTTATTAACTGAGGATTAAATGATTATTCTTTAGACGTATCAGTCTGGATTAGTTCGTTGTGTAGTTTCTGTGTAGTATGTTGTTTACATGCAGCAGCTAACACAGTGTAATTGCAACCTTTTGCCCACTAAACGGCGCCAGAGATTCGAGGCAGCAGCAGGGGGAGGAGCCAAGTGACGCCGAGCGCTGATCTCCAAATCATCTATCAGCCCGCTCTCCGTCGCTTCAATGCTGCCTGACTGAGCACACATGTTATATGAATCTGTTTAATGGGTATGTGAGGGTTGTTGTGCTGCGTGACCCCGAGCAGTCCGACTCCTACTTAAATTCGGGCTGCTCGCAATGGAGAGCCCGAATAATTTGAAGTGTCTATAACTGTTATGGGTGAAGACACGCGCGCTTGTAAAAGAGTCTGGCAGCTAAAGCAGAGGTGAGTTACTTAAAAACATAGATCTGTCGCTAAATAGCAACAAGCTAACCTAGCTACGCAGCTAACTAGCATGCTAGCAGGTAAAGAAAATCACATTTACAAATCTGCCTCAATGCGTGTTGTTGAAAAAATAATTAATTATGTATTAATCTAAAGGTTCCTGCTCACCTATGTGATTTGAAGAACTATATATAATTAGAAAGGACGTCAGTGAGCTAATGCTTATAAGAACGGAGTGTACCATCGCTCGATTTGCACGTTTTCGCTGTGGTTTTGAGTTGTTCATAACTCTTCTCTGGCTTTAATCTGATCTAAACTGAAGTCTGTCAGTGGTTGTTTATTTATCACAAATGCATATATCCTGTCAGCATGAGACGTGTTTATTTTAATCGAGACGTGCCGATTCTCCCTGCAGCTTTGTGTGATCTGACGCAAACCTTTCGGCCGTTTTCGGGATTATCTTTAGTGCAAAACCACGAGTTTTGCAAAAACACGATTTTGGCAAAACAGTTCAGGCAAAACCCCCGACAGCGAGGTGGTTATAATCTGTATGCGAAATGTGATAAACTGCAGAAACTGGCTGGACAAGACAGCGGAAACAACAACAAAAAGAGGCTTGTCTCGTGGTGTTTTAGGGAAGCCATTTTGGTTTTTAGGTCGCGAGGCGAGGACTGCACGGTGAGATTGGGACACATGCGTGTTACAGATAAGTTATCAAACCGTTTCAAGGACCTGGTTTTACTACTCCACCTATTTAGTCTGCTCAGTTCAGACAAACGTGCCAAGGTTTTAATGCAGGGTGATTATGTTTTTCTTCCAATGTGGGTCTTTCCAGTTAAACTACGTTGGGGTGACGCACTGTGAGGAGCAGGTAACTCMGGCTCCAGACCTGCTAGGGTCAGGTTGCTGATCTGTTTGGGACACGGTCAACAGTGTTCTATAAAGTACCTCAAAGTGATACTTGAGTAAAAGTACAAGTATCTTATCATAAAAATACTTTGGTAAAAGTTAAAATGTCTTCTAAAAATATTACTTGAGTAAAAGTCTTTAAGTATCTGATGATTTTTGTACTTAAGTATAAAAAGTAAATTTGACACAAAATCTGCTTGAGTATTAAAAGTAAAAGTACTGAGTAAAAGTGAGCAGTTAGATTTTRCAAAATGACATTTATTGAGAGGTGACTTCTAAAAAAATTTTTATTTTCTAATGGCAAACAGCTGTGATGGACTGTACAAGCTAATAGGGTGTCAGAATTGTAAATGTTTATACTTCTCATCCAATCATAATTAAATTCACTTTATCCAGGAGACGCGATTTATCGGGATAGTTTTTTTTAAAGTAATAACTCGGAATTAAAACAGGAGTAACAACTTTCTACTTCTTACCTTTTTTTAAAAAATGTAGTGAGTAGAAAGTACAGATAATTGTGTAAAAATGTAATGAGTAAAAGTAAAAAGTACGCTGAAAAATAATTACTCAAGTAACCAAAATTTCTACTTAAGAACAGTAACAAAGTATTTGTACTTAGTTACATTACAACTCTGACGGTCAAAGCCTCCTGAATCGTTTTATTGTTTTATCTTTCTGTATAACTTTGCACCTTTTGTAAAGCACTTTGTGACCCTCTATGTCTGTGAAAGGTTCTATATAAATAAACTCTTAACTTACTTACTTACATCACCGTAAGATTAAATGTCTTCAGCTTGTTCAGGCAGGACCAGAGGACACCTGCGCCTGCATGATGACTCAGCATGACCTGCTGTTGTGTTTTTGTGTTTTGCTCTAACAGGTGGGCAGGATGGAGGAGCAGACCACTGCCAGCCCCGTGGCTGCGATCTCTCCAGTGCAGCAGATGCTGGCCTCTGGCACTGGAGCCCTCCTCACATCTCTATTTGGTTAGATTATAGAAGCAACAACTAAACAAAAGCTCATCTAATTAGTGGAGTTTTGCACAGTGTTTTGTCACTTGCACTTAATTTGTGCTGTTTTACGTTGTAATAACTGAAGCTGTGAATTTGTTTACAGTCACGCCGCTGGACGTTGTGAAGATAAGGCTGCAGGCTCAGCAGACACCCTTCAGTCAAGGTTTAAACAAGTCTTATTTCTGTTGAGTTGATGTCACTTGGATGTAGCTTTGCTCCTGAAACTAACCCCGCCACACTTATCTGCTCGGTCCTAACGCCCTGCCTTCTCTCTGCCCTTTTTCTATGCTTCGTTTTATAGCTTTAGCCCGTGAACTCTCTCCCAGACGTGGTGTCAGCCGCTCTTCCAGATGTGAGTATTGAACCGCTGCAGATGTTTGCTGTGTGTGTGTGTCCACGTGCTGGAATAGCAAACATTTTCTGCTTGTAAAACTAAAATAGCTTCCTTTGCAAATAGATGTGATTTAGTCACTTCAAAAAGTCAGTCCTGAGTAAACACGCAGAGTAAACAGAAACAAGGACAACCCTGGTGTTATCTTCTGAGTGGCAGTGTGGTCAGTGCCATCGCCTCTATTATTAATGACTTCTGTGAAGGCTGCTGTAATCCAGATTGCTTGTTCACATAAAGCTGTTACATAAAAGGGATGTAATTAATAAGTAAACTGCTGCAGACATTGAGTTTTTATCCACACATGCTTTGATGTTTTCCTGATCGCTAGCTCTTCTCTACAGGGAAGTGCTTTTTGTATTGCAATGGACTGATGGATCACATCTACGTCTGTCGCAATGGATCCAGCTGTACCAGCTGGTACAAAACACCAACACATTTTAGTGGGACTCTTGTAAGTTGCACCGCATCCCCAGTTATTTATTTTTTATTTATTTTGTGTGTGTGTTGCCCACAAAGTGAGCCGAAGTTTGTTTGTGCCACAGGATGCTTTTGTGAAAATCACCCGTCATGAAGGACTTCGGTCTCTGTGGAGCGGGCTGCCACCAACACTGTGAGTGGCTCCTGGAAAATATTTACACAACAAGATCGATGTGAGCGAGTTGTCGTTTCAGTTTGCAGGCTGCAGCTCCGGGGAGATTACTGAATGCAGAGTTAAAGTGTCTGCAACATCAGGTTTTTGTAATAATTAATGCATTTTTTGGAAAGATAACATTGAGAACATGTTGCAAAACAAATTTTACGCCGCTGAGATGAACGGTTGTGGAGAAATTTGCATGTGAAGAAACAGGAAGTGATGTCAAAGGGGAATGTCTGCATGTAAACAGAGCTTTTTAACAAAAGCTAAACAACACAGACTGTAGAGAAGAATCTGTTTCTTTACATTATTTTGAGTCGCTATCAAAGAGAGACAAAGAAGAGTTAGTTTAAATAATTTTGCTTTAATAAACAAAGATCAGAGAGCTTATTTTATTAAAGAGAAGTTTCACTGTTTCACTTTGGCTGAGACAAATTCAAAAGAAAATATGCCAGTTATGTGGCAAAATGGATAAAATCATGTGTATTATGCCAATTTTCTCAAGTATAAAGATGCTTTCTTTGACTTTTTGTATTTGAAGGATAGGCATGTCACAGGCACTTTAAACACAAATAATTWCAGTCTTCTTTGTGTAGATTTCCTGCAATTTACAACTCATCAGGAAATATTTACATTTTTAAATAAAAGTTGCAAATGTTTTCATCAATTTTACTCTAGTACAATTTCTGTTTTTCATCTCTCTTTGCAAATTGCTTGCAAATAGTCTTGGTTAATTCATGTGTGTGTGTGTGTGTGTGTGTGTGT